TCAAAACTCAAATATTTTCTTTCAATATGTACTACAACTATAGTATGGTTAAACAAGCTTTTTGTAATTATACCTGGAAAATACTGAAGTATTTTCTATAGACACAAGTGGGTTTCACTATCTATTGACCTAACCCATTGCTAAATTGGGGATTACAAGTACATGTTTAAGATACAGACACCTTTGTAAAAAATAATTTGAATGCAGTGGAAAGTATTACTCCTTCTTTTCCTAATCCTACCAATTTGAATTACCTTTTACTATGCCAAAGTAAAGTTTTTTTTAAAGAATGAAGATATTAATATTAAATAGCTAGGTATAAGTGTTCTTTTCCAACAGGCAGCCACAAACAGAACGAAGTACCTGTACACATAGTGTAATTTGACTTTTTCCTTAATTTGTGATGGACACTAGTTAACTTTTATACAGCTATTGTTTTCAATTAAAAATAAAATTATTACCTTCAGGCAGTAGCTCAAGTTTAAATTCCAGGCCTCAAGCATTCTACTACCCCCCAAAACGCCCTTGTGTCCACTGAAGTTCTTCCTTTCTGCAGCACTAAAATCATGATAGTAGTAGCTTCATTTATGTGAAAGCTATTATGTCTTCATAGCAGCATTGTTTTCTGTAATGAGAAAATATTCAATGTATATTTCATTTTCCTGCACATAAAGAAAAATACTGGATTTTGTTATGCAGGTTTTATTATAGTGATTCTGAGCCTGGTACAGTGAAACCATCAGTTGACTCAATTGACAAGAACTAAGGACAAAAACTGACTTTATAGGTAATTGCCCTCATCTTGCGGTAGGTGACTTAACCTCTCTTTCCTTATCTAAAATTAGACATTTGGACTAAGTTTTTGTTTCAACTCTCACATCTCTCACATGCTAGAACTACTGAAAACAATGACCTCTGCAGTGAATTACATCTTTTTTCCCCCACAATGAAGATATTTACTAATACAGCATCTTTTGGTAATCCCACCCACTATAAAATCCTGGAATTGATTTGACAAGCTTATTTCTGAAAGAAGTAGTATCGGGGTTGGATAAGAGATCAGGAAGGAGAAACTATTAAATATATGTCTATAGTTAATGACTGGACTTTAGAACACCCACTAAGACATTAAATTTTGTTAGCAAATTGCCTTCTAGAATGTTTCATATTACATTTAAAAAGTGGATTTTACCTTATAGTGAAAACAAAGATTAGGAAAAAAGTATTAAATTAGAAGTTTGTTTTTATTTATAGGGAAAAAGTACTTTTAATTGTTTATTCATATTTAATACATGGCAGAGGAGAAGAGACTATTTCAGGCTGTAGTCATTCTACCTCCCTGGGCCATGCTTGGGTTACTGCTGTTTTGATTTTTTTTCAACAGCATTTCTATTTGCTCAAAAACTTAAGAGGCAAGTCTTAGGTGCAATTTCTAAAGATCTTTCTTAACATCTAATTATTACATTTACTAACTATAGACTTTTGTGTAATAAAATTTATCCATTAAAACCAATAGTCTGAGAATAAATCCCTAAACAGGACAACTAAAGAATAAAGTCACTTGAGGTTTAGTCTTAAGAGTTTCTCTTAATTCTATGCACTTTGATTAGTGTCTCAAGATTTAACGGATCTTGAAATCTATTCAATATCAGTATCAGGTCTTATTAACTGCATCAAAAAAATATTGCTCAAAAGTACTTTAGAAAATAAAATGTTTTTCATCTTTTAGGGTAGGTAAATGACGTAATGTACCTTTTATGATGGATATAAATCAGTGGTGTCAAAATTAAATCAAGACTACTAGTTCACAAATATTTTATAGGCCATTTATTTTTTAAGGATGGGTTTTGAAAGTTACAGCATCCTAAATCAACACCAAAATTTTAAGTGTATGCAAATTTATATAGAAACCTATAACCTATTTTCACTGAATAACCTATTTTTCAGTGAAAAAAATTTAAGACTAGTGTTCACAGTGTCTCTTTTATGTAATGTTTATCCTCCCTAGAAATTTCCCTGTAATCTTCGTTTCTACCCATTTCTTACCCTGTATAGACATACCTCTTTTTAACCTCTCTGCTCTTTGAGAACTTCACAAGTTATCTCACGTAATCCTCACAATGATTCAGAGGTAGATCTTATTATATCTATTTATAGATGAGAAAACCAAAGTTGTCCAGTAACTTCCTTAACATCACAGAGAACATTACAGCTCAGATTCAAAATAAGTAGGGTAAAAAAAAAACCCCCAGGACAATTAGGATTCCAAAGCCCATGCACAGTCATACCACACCACACCACACCATTATATACCAAAAAAAGAAAAAGAAAAAGAAAAAGAAACCTATAATAAAATTATATTTTTCAAGTTGTTGCTCTCCAGGTAACAGTGTGCCTTCATGAGGACCATAATAAATGAATCATGCAGAAAATCATTAAAAAGCAAAAGCTTGCAGTTAATATTCTAAGTAGACTTAAAAACACTCAAAAGTAAAAGTACTAACTACCCTAGGTTTTGCATGGAGACAACACCAAAATTAAAGACATGTCACTGTTGATAACACACCAAAGCCATTATATTGGGCATTCAGTTATTTTGGAACACTTGTTAACTAGTTTCTCCTTAACGAAGTTCTCAAATGAAAATGTATTTTATTCAACATTTCTGCACTGCTAGTTGAACTTTCATCTCATTCAACATTCAGGTTGTGTATCTTATTGGTATTTTTCAATTCGAATTAAGATCAATTTATATTGACTCTTATCAGGTACTGTATTTTTTATTCTAATAAATTTCAAATTAGTTATAGTTAAAAATGTAATAATGTATTGATCATATATTTTTAAGATATTCTGACCAATGAGATGTTATCAATAATTTTAAAATTATCTGAAAAAGAACTTAATTAACTAAACGTTTATTTCAAGTTCAATGAAATTTAATTCAGGCAATTTTACTGCTGTAACTTAAAAATCACTAATGATTAAAGAACGATGTTTAAAACTGTCAAATTTCACCCTGACTTGAGTGGCTCAGTTGGTTGGAGTGTCCTCCCTTACACTGAAAGATCATGGGTTGATTCCAGTCAGGGCACATACCTAGGTTGCTGGTTGATTCCCTGGTAGGGGCACCTATGGGAGGCAAACGATCCACGTTTTTCTGTCACATCGATTTTTTTTTCTCTCTCCTTTCCTTTCTCTCTAAAAATCAATAAACATATATATATATTTTAAAAACTGTCGAATTTCTTTCCAATTCTACCAAATTAAAAAAATGGATTAAGCAGGGAGACTTCAATTAGGCAACTGTTTCAAGCCTCAGGAGGTCTAACTTCTTTAATGACTGCAATTCTCACCATGACAATGACTCACATGGTTAAAAGACCACCACATTTATTTGTCAACCCAGTCCTCTCTTAGGACTTCAGCACAGAGGTTTTATAATTTTATTCCTCTAACCATGAGGCTTTCTCCCTTATTTCTTCACATTGGCATCCAATTTAACTGAAATCTAAATGATTATGATGGTAGTAATAGCTAACATTTACTACGTGGTATTTAATTCTCACAGCTGACCCAAGTGTGGCACAGAGGTTAATAGAGGGGGTTGGCAAAAGTAGGTTTACAGTTGTTGGTAAAGAAGACATGCAGGTAATGATGATCACAACAGCTTTATTTACTGTGTTTCACGTACTCACTACTGTAAACCTGCTTTGCCCACCTCATACGTAGCTGCGGAAGCACTGGAACTCCGCCATTTGGTTCCAGGGCCCGAATTCTAAAAATTGAGTAGTCCTAATTTCATCCTCGTTGCTCTCTAATAAAAGATTGGTTTTCGCTTGTAATTGTTTAAATCATTTCTCTTATTCTATGATTGATTATCGGGTGTCTACCTAATTAAAGTACATCTTTAAGCAACTTGTTTTAAAAAAAAGAAAAAAGAAAAAAGGAAAGCTTTAGTTGTCTTCACCTGTACACAAACCGCTCTGCCCACAAAATTAGCAATCCAGTTCTGCCTGATTCTAAACTGCTATCTCTTGAAGTCCCCCTCTTGGAGCTTTTCTGGCAAACGCTTTAAAAAATGACTTTCAAATCTGGATAGCATCTGTCCATCCATCCTCCCTCAGGAAAACAACTAAATTGAATTAGAATAATTCTCGGTCATGGAGAATAAGACATAAGCCTTTGGGTAACTTCAAGACCCCCAAAACTCAAAATGCGGAGGAGGTGGTGTGCAAGCACTCCTTTCCTGTTCTAAATATACAAAGGGGCTCATAAACAGGAAAAAAAAAAAAAAGGCAAAAAACCAGAACCCTATAAAAATGGGCGCGGGGCTGCGCGAAAGACCACTCTCTGGGCGCCCAAGGGGTCCATGTCCTTCTGAGCGGCGGAGACTCGTCCTGCTGCTCAGCGACCCTCCTCAAGACACCTAACTTCCACCTTTTGCTGACTGCCTCCCCGGGACCCGCGAGCCCCGTCGGGGGCAGGGATAGTAGGCCTCGCCATGTGAGGCCCCAGGAAAGACCCAAGGCGGGGTGCAGAAGCCGCCACCAGGGCCCAGTAGGAGCGGGGGTGGGGCGGGGGCTGGCGGCCGGCGGTTGCTTAGGGACCGGGCAGGTCAGGAGGTGATGGGAGGAGGAGGCAACAGGAATAAAGGGGCGTTGAGAGGTAGCGTCCGGTCCGTCGGCGCAGACAGCGCTGCCAAACCTCCGACTCCCCTAGTCCCGCTGCCGCCGAGATCTCTACAGGGAGACAAGGGAAGTTCACAAAGTGCTGGAGCAGAGGGGAGAAAATTCAAAACGAGTCTACTCAACCTCGTCTTGGCTCCGAGGCCCCGCCATGGAGACCAGCACAATGCGCAGGCGCATCCTCTCCGAGTTCGCGCAGCGGCGTTCCAGGAGATGAGACCATTATCGGCCACCGTTGTTAGTTTCCATTTTGATTCGGGTTTGTTTTTTTTTTTTTTTGGCGGGGGGGGGGGGGGCGTTGGTACTCGCCCCTCTCGTGGATTTAAAGCGTGAAGGTAGAGAGGAGAGCCCACGAGGAATCTCGCTAGAGTGAGGTTCTGCTTCTGAGTATTCGTGATAAAATGAAGCCCGAACGGCTTTAGTAAATTAAAGCTGAAGACAGAGGAAATATAATGAATACGTGGCTGGAGTCGGTATGGTTTAATGCAAATAAGACATCTTGACAGGAAAGACTACAGTTCCCAGTGCTTATAGAGTCTGAGAAGCACTGCTTTCTGGGGCTTGTATTGTCTAGGATCTATGCTTGAAATATCGGGTCTTAAAACACTCACTTTTTAAAAAAAAAAACGAGAGAGAATCAGATTTGAAATGGGTCTTTCTGTATCTTCATACTCGATCACAGGAAATATAGAACATGAAATACATGAAATACAAAAAGGTTAAAGGGGCCCGCCATCTTTAAGACTATGCTTTCCTAATCGATGATTCTTAAATCTAGGAATAGGTAGTTGATGTTTGTGGGCTGGGCCTCTGTGGAAGGGCCGCCTCGTGGTCTCTTCAGGCTGAGGAGGCCGGAGGAAATAACGCGGAATCCCAGCCCTGGACTGCACTTTCCGCATCCCTGTGCAGTCTGATTTAGAGCTGCCTCTCTTTGTAGTCTTAAGGGACCGGAGCACGCGTTGTCTATTACCCTGTACGTTTCTGTGGGCAAGTTTTGTGCCTACGTCCCGCGATGGCTCAGCTCCAGACACGCTTCTTCACTGACAACAAGAAGTAAGTAAGCTCCTCACCTCTCCCCTATCCGGGGCCCCTTCGGTATGACCTTGTGGATACCCGTATTCACTTTTACACCGTCCCCCTCCTCTTCCTTTTTCTTTTCTTCTTTGGAGTATTTTCTGCTTAAGCAGAAGTGGTACCTAGAGTATTTCTCAGGGTCCCACCTTTAATACCACCTCCTTACTGCCGAGCTTCTCAGACTCTATGCAGTTTAAATTGTGACTATGGAGGGGCCGAAGGGCTTCACGCTTGCTTCGCGAATGAAGCACATTATGTAATTGAACAGTGGACCAAGTCGTTACAGACAGCTAGTGGTGTTTGTTTCTGAAAACAAAACTTAATTTCAATGATTCCTAAACCAGGCTAGAAAGTAAAGCTCCGAAGAGGGGGTTGGTAGAACTGTTTTCTGATAAGAGTGTGAAGTCAAAACCGTTGCAGATTTGTGTAATTATATACATATATACGTACACACACATACAGGTATACGTATTTGTATATAGATACACAGCTCTGTGTGTGTACATAATGTATACATAAACATTTTCAACAATAGTCCCCAGGTCTGTAGCGTTCATTTGAAAGAAACCTAATTACATTCTGCCTCATGGGGTGTTTGTAGTTTTATGAGTTGACCTGGTAAATCATGGTCACTCCTTGTGCTGTTGCTTACATATACATAAATTGTATTATCAATGCACATGAATGTATAAACTTAAGTCTCAATACTTCTCAAGTAATGTGATGATGCAATAGCATGTCCGCTGTACCTTTTCTAATTGAAATTTTTATTATTGATTTACATGAAGTCTTAAGAAATAGACCTGTATTTTAGCCCTTAAACTAATGTCTCATGTGTATGTGCGTGTGTGTGTATCGATTCTCGAAAAACAGTATGTTCTGGTCAATAAAATGAAGGGGTAAAAACATTCACCTATATATAGTTTACATATACTATATATATATTCATATATGTAGTATGTGAATTATGCTACTCCTTCTACCCTGCTCCCATTTTACTGACCAAAATGATAAGTGAAAGGAAGAATGAAGATTTTAAATCTCTATGTTTTGTTACCTTTTGGAGAACCTAAGTAACTGCTTACTATTTTTGGCATGACAAATATATAACTATAGCCTTAACTACTCAAAGTGTAGTTTGAGGACCATCATCATCAGCATAACGGGAACTTGTTAGAAAAAGAAGAATCTCAGCCTCCACCCCAGACCTCCTTGTTTAGAATCTACTTCTTAACAAGTCCTGAAGCCCCTCCTCTCCCTCCCTTCCCATTGTGGCCAAAAGAGGCTTCCTGTAGGCTTTCTTGAAGAGCCCTGTAGATTCTACCTTAACATCTTTTGAAACTTTTCCATTCCCCACAAATACAACCTTAAATTTGGCCTTAGGGAGACTTTTTTCCTTTAATTTTTTTTTTATTTTTTTTGATAACAACTTAGAGATAATAATTCACGTACAACAGAATTCACACATTTAAAGTGTCCAATTCACTGATTTTGCAGTATTACGCAAGCGTAACTACACTAAATTTTAGAACATTTTTGATTACCTTTTAGCTTTTACCCCCAGTCCTTCCAATCCCCCAGCCCTAGTCAATCATTTAATTTACTTTCTGTCTCTATAGATTTGTGTGTTCTGGATATCTTATACAAGTGGAACTATGTAACATGTATGTGGTGTTTGGTGACTGGCTTCACAACGAGTCATTCATGTTGTAATATCAGTACTTCATTACTTTTTATGGCCAAATAATATCCCATTATATGGATAATACCACATTTTGTTTCCATTGTTCAGTTGATGGTCATTTGGGTCATTTCTACCTTTTATTTATTATGAATAGTGATGGTGTGAACATTTGTGTACAAGTTTTTGTGTACATATATTTTCATTTCTCTTGGGTATATACTTAGGAGTGGAGTTGCTAGAACAAATGGTAAGTCCAAGTTTACCGGTAACTTTTTGAGGAGCTGCAAGATGTTTCCAAAGTAGCTGCACCATTTTACATTCCCACCAGCAGTGAATAAGGTTTAATTTCTCCACATTCCCACTGACACTTATCTTTTCTTTGGTTGCCGTTTATCACACTTACTTGAATCGCAGGGTGAGCAACTGAGTAACTCTTAGCTATTGTTTTTCTGCTCTCCCTGCATTCCAGCACTCCTGCTTTTTGTCTATCCCTTTCACTCTGCATCCTTTCAGACTCTGCTCTCCTATCCTCCTTTTCTCTGTTGAAATGACCTATGGCTTCTTTGTTCTCCCATTTTATATATTATTTATGTAATAAATATTCTTACGTAGATTCATTGTGTTTGGTTACCAGACACTAACCCTTTCTGAGGACAGAGACCAAGTCTTAATTCATTTTGTTAACCCCTTGTAGCAAAATGACATGTATTAGTTACTGAGTAAATGTTAGTTGAATGAATAAATGTGCATTCGTTAAACTAATCAGTGGACTTTATCTTGATGTGTCATTTCTTTTTTATAGATACGCAGTAGATGATGTTCCCTTCTCAATCCCTGCAGCTTCTGAAATTGCTGACCTTAGTAACATTATTAATAAATTGCTGGAGGCCAAAAATGGTGGGTATATATGTTCTGAAAAGTTGGGACAAGTCACAACACTGATAGCTACAATAAATTCCATCACATTTTAATGTTATTTCCTTTTTTGGCCTTATTTTATTATAATGCATGCATTTTATAAATTATAATATGGGTTTCCCTGCTACATGATACTTTAAAAAATGCTTTGAAATAAAAGTTTTCAGGAAATACTATTTTAGTTTGATCTGTTTTTAAGACTGTGGAGATAAGGTAGTTGTTTAGGATAAGGAGATTTAGGAATAAAGATTTTAGTATAATGTTTAGTATAATGTTTGATGTAGAGGTAATCAAGACATTGTGACTGCTGCAGAGGGATAAGTTGGGCGGCAGAGAACAAGTGTCTAGGTGCTTGGGCCCCACCTGCTATACTTCTACAAAACAAATGGCAATATCAGTATTTGGGTATTTATTTTGTGTAATAACAAATGCCAATATTAATACTGATATTTTTTAAGTATTTGGGATTCATAAAATGAATGGATAAAACATATGTAAGAGTAGCAAGTAAAACACTTAGCAAGATACAAATAGTAAACATGTTAAGTGTGAGTATAAGTTATTAGCCCATAAAATTAATATAAACAATGTGTACAAGAATATTGATTAAACAAGATTGGCTATAAATTGATCATTTGAGTTGCATGATAGGTATATGAAGGTTTATTATAAAGTTTATTCTCCATTTTTGCATACATTTGAAATTTTTTATAATAAGATGGTTTTTAAAAAGTAACATGTCCTTCCTAGGTGGCTCGGTTGGAGCACTGTCCCATACACCAAAAGCTGGTCACAGGTTTGATTCCCAGTCAGGGCACGTATCTAGGTTGAGGATTCGATCCTCTGTTGGGGCATGTAAAGGAGGCAGCCAGTGTTTCTCACATCGATGTTTTTCTCTCTTCCTCCCTCTCTCTCTAAAATTAATAAACATTCTTGGGTGAGGATTTAAAAAACTTAAAAAGTAAAATCATACATAAAATAGAAGATTAAAGAACTGAAAACAAAGTGTGATCCTTAAAAATGAAATACATCAATGAAGAGCCATTTATACTCAAACATATTTTTAAACATGTTTTTGATGCTTCAAAGTTCTTTTGATTCTACCTTAGTTGAAGGAATAGGGAGGTGAAAATTATAAACTAATGCCTAATATTTTCCCCTTCATCTTCGAACAATCTCCTAACTTTTTTGTTAAGTTTGAAATGATGTTTTTGAACGGAACTTTTCGAGGGTACAGTCTACAATCTCTTCATTGCTAGTAAGCTGAAGTTCTTGATTCAGAGATACATAGCATTTCCTATGTGTCTTTACTTTCATTGTGGATGTAGAGAGATTCTGGTGCATACTTTTCTAAATTTAAAAAATGTCATATAGCCCTGGCTGGTGTGGCTCAGTGGATTGAGCGCTGGCCTGCAAACCAAAAGGTTGCTGGTTGGATTCCCAGTCAGGGCACATGCCTGGGTTGCAGGCCGAGTCCCTAATAGGGGCCGCACAAGAGGCAACCACACATTGATATTTTTCTCCTCCTCTTTCTCCCTCTCTCCCCCTCTCTCTAAAAATAAATAAATAAAAATTTCTTAAGATTTTTGGAAATTTAAAATGTCATGTTCTACCTATTAAACAGTCTTTGAACTAGAAAAAGAATTATTCTTGCAATAAAAGCTTTGCAATACCAATATATGGTCATTTGTTGTTATCCAAATATGTGCATATTTTCTAAACTTATTGATGATATTTGGTTTGGATTTTTTTTTTTTTTTTTTTTTTGTATAAATGGAGTGAGTCATTGCTCTTGAGTTAAAGATGCAAATTTTTCAGATTTCGGGTTTTTTTATTTTTTATTTTATTTTTTAAATTGAGGAAGCCCCCTTTTTTTAATCCTCACCGAAGGACATGCTCACTGATATTTAGAGAAAAGGGAAAGGACGGCAAGAGAGAGGGAGAGAAACATTAATGTGAGAGAGAAACACTGACTGGTGCCTCTGGCACACTCCCCTCGACCAAACCATAACATAGGCATTATGTGCTTTGACCTGGAATTGAACCAGTGACCTTTCGATTTGCAGAACAACTCCCAACCAACTGAGCCACACCAGCCAGGGGTACTTTTATTATTAATAATTTTTTAATCCTCAGACAAGGATATGTTTTTACTGATTTGAGAGAGAGAGGAAGGGGCAGAGAGAAATAATCAGTGTGAGAGAGAAACATCGATTAGTTGCCTCCTAGTTGCGTCCCAATCAGGGATGGAACCAAAACCTAGGTGTGTGCCCTGACCAGGAATCCAACCCAAAACCTTTTGGTGTAGGGAGTACGCACCAACCAACTGAACCACCCGGCCAGGGCTATTGTTGTATTTTTGTATCCTTACCTGAGGGCATGCTTAGAGAGGAGAGGGGATGGGGAGGAAGGGGATGACAGAAACATTGATTGGTTGCCTTTTTAGGCACCTGGACCAGGGACCTGGGTATGTGCCCTCACCAGGAATAGAGCCCACAACATTTTTATCCCTGGGATAATGCTCCAGCCAACCAAGCCATATGGGCCAGGGACAGATTTCAAGACTTAAAAAGTAGCAATCCAAATAGTCAATGAGGGAATTCTTTCAGAAGGATCATTTATAATAAATGCAGAAAGAATAAAAAATTTTTAGCATATTGTAACTCCAAATGAAGTAATGGATTTAAGAGTGATTTTCAGTAGCTGCTAAAATCATTAATTAGGTAAAAGGTTGATAGAGTACATGATGGGTAGGATCATATTGACACCATCTGAGCCCAGAAGTGATCACAGTATCATAAAAAGGGATGCAATGAGATAACGTACTTCCTGATGTGATGCAAAAGGAAATACATAATACTGTAAGTATTTTTGCCCTTCCGCCCCCAGAAAGGGCAAATCTGAAATCTAATCAAAATTGTTGAGGTCTGCCTATGTACACCATATACAAGTTGTAGAGGAACATGTTAAATGACACCTTGGAAATGTAATCAACCCAACCCAGATGTAAGAAATATTGAGACAGATGACCCAGTTTCTTCAACAAATAAATGAATGGCAAGGGAAATAAAGAAACTGGTAAAGATTATTATAAAATATGTTAAATATAATAAGTGGATTTTGGATGCTGATTCTAAAAAGCTCACTCTAAAAATATGAAATAAGGAAACATGAACATTGGCTATTTGGTACTCAAAGAAATAATTATTGACTTTTAACATGTGACTTTTTAAAAGTCTTTATATTGTAGAAGTATGTATTAAAGATTTGCGATGAAGTGATACCGTATCTGAAGTTTGCTTTAAAATAAAGTAGTGGGTGTGTAGAGGGAGAAGTATAGATGATTGTCCACGAGTTGGTAATTGCCAAAGTGCGTGATGTGGATGAGAATTCATGTTACTTCTACTTTGTATATATTTGAAATTTTTCATAGACTGAGACATTTTTAAATAATCTGATTGTACTGCCAAGAAAAACAAAACAATTTTACCAAGCACAATGAAGTATTTCTGTTCTTAAAAATCACCTAGTATACTGGGACATGTGGCCTGATTATGCCGTCTAGAAATTCAGAGGGGATAATAGGAACCTGTTTGTTTTGGGGTCTCTTACATACCTCTGCCAATACCATTTCAGGTCCTATGAGTGATGATTTTATTATACATTTTCTTTAGAGGTTCACAAGCATGTGGAGTTTGACTTCCTTATCAAAGGCCAGTTTCTGCGGATGCCGTTGGTCAAACACATGGAACTGGAAAACATCTCATCTGTAAGTTCAACTGTTTACTTGCTCTGTTTTACTCACCATCAGGTAATGTAGGTAAACTCCATCTAGAATCAGCCAGAATCTTCAGTAACCAAGATCCTTATCATTAATGTTTTTCCCCTCGAAATTTGAACTTTAGTTTCTGTATATTCATTTGAAATCCTCTCTTCTGAGAGTATATTATTTAAGAAATACAGATGAATGAATATGGAAAGATACTTTCATAGTTGTGGAAGAATTGTCAAGAAAAGGAATAGGAAGTACATGTTTATTACTCATAAAGGTGTACAAAGTGTGCACATAGAAAAACTTACAGATCAGGTTACTGAGATTTAGAATGATTTTTCTCCCTTTCCTATAATTTTCAAACTTTTGATTTTATATTAGGTTGGCTAAAAAGTCCATATGGTCATTTATGTAAAATAAAAGACAGATTTTTCATTTTCACCAATAACTTCATTGACTTGGATATTTTGAGTATGTCGGCTCTCTCCCACATGGTATAATGTTGATTTTTCTCAATTAATGTCTTGATCGCTGTCATCTTCAACTCATCTACCTGACCGTGGAGCATCTTCTGCTGAGAAATTTCCAGCACGAAACTTTGCAAACCACGTTTGACACACTCTTTTCAGTCATAGCACCTTCTCCATACATGGCACAAATCTGTTTGTGTGTGTTTCAGTTGCATTTTTACCTTTCTTGAAATAATAAAGCATAATATTCCAAAAATGCTACATATTTTCTTCCATCTTCAATATTAAAATGGCTACACAAAAATTCACCAATTTTGGTACGTTTTTTCTAAATGCATGCTGATATGACAGCTGTCACAATACAATAACAAAATTGTTTCAAATGAAGTTAAAGACACCTAAGCATTACTAGAGCCATCTTACAGGAAAAAAAACAAACTTTTTGACCTGCCCAATACATAAAATTTATCATTTGAACCATTTTTAAGTATACAGTTCAGCAGCATTAATTACATTCACAATGTTATGCACCATCACCCTTTCCATTTTCAGAACTTTTTCATTACCCTAAACAGAAGCTCTGTACCCATTTAACAATATGCTTTTGTGATTTTGTAATTTAAATTTTCTTATATTTTCCCTCCCACTTTTAGAATAAGATTTCCACAGTCATTAATATTTCTTAATGTTACTCATAGCATACTGTCAGATCAAATAAAGGTTTTCACCTTTTGTATGGCTCCAGTATTTCTGGCTTATGAAGGGAACTAACATACCAGAGATTATTAAATTGGGGTCCTGTATCTTCATAAGGTACCATTTTAAGACTACATCACCTGATTGATTTCTGGTTTCTCTCTCTGACTAGGAAGAGGTTGTGGAACTAGAATATGTGGAGAAGTACACTGCACCTCAGCCAGAGCAATGCATGTTCCATGATGACTGGATCAGTTCAATCAAAGGGGCAGAGGAATGGTATTGCCAGATGAATGTCCTTGTATCCTTCTTATGCCACCCCCATCAGTGTTTTTAAGTGCATGATGGAAATGTTCTCTGATTTCTCTGTAAATACAATTTGTGATGTATGCATCATTGACCATACCAAAGATCTTTGCATTCACTGTAAGTCAAGAAATATTTATTAGTAAGTTTTTTTTTGTGAAGATGTAGTGAGATTTGTATTCTGGGTAGGTCAGGTGTCAGGGCATTTATTTGATTTGAGTATGTTGCTTTTAAGGCCAAGGATATAATTTGTTTTATAGAGGAGGAAAAAATCTTCATAGTCAAATACCTCCTAGCCTGCTACCATGAAGGTGCAGATCATGCTACTTTAGAGTTAAAGTGGGCAAACTGAAATCAGGAAGTTGTAGATGGCTCAGAGCAAACCCCCACTGGCCTTACTTGCATTACTTATAGGAAAGCACCTCAAAAGTAGTACATAGTGGTAGCTTACATTCACAGAATCTCTTCCTGGGGTTATTACACAAAGTTAATGTTTTCACTGGTTTTACTTTAAGTGGTTTTACTGTTTTTCTATTTCATGGTTTTCACTGGTTAAATGCAGAGTACAGCCAACTTGCTTAGCTTTCCCAAGAGTTGTATTTACAATAGTAAAAATGAAATCTAGGATTTGTTGGCTATGTTTTTATTTTTAGGTCAGGAGAAGCCAAATGTAACACCTTCTGATATTCTCTAGTATGTTTTGAAATCTTGATCTTCATATTAAAGGAGAGTTTAAAAGAATAATCCTCAAGGTTAACTTTGTCATTACCTTAGAAATATAATTGATTTCAGGATTTGAAAAAGCTGCTTTTTTTGTATTTCATAGGATTTTTTTTCTCCTTGCAGGATCTTGACTGGTTCTTATGATAAGACTTCTCGGATCTGGTCCTTGGAAGGAAAGTCAATAATGACAATTGTGGGACATACAGATGTTGTAAAAGATGTGGCCTGGGTGAAAAAAGGTAAGGACTCCGCCTAAACTGAGAGGAATCCTGGATAGCGATTGGAAATGAGCCACTTTTAGTGCTGGCGCAGAATATGAACAGGTAAGGAAATGTCTCCTGCCTCAGTTAATGTGAGGTCTTTGGAAAATACAGTGTTCCGGAAGAAAAGGATTATATAAAAAATTCATATTAATAAAAGTGAATCCTTACTAAAAATATATCAGATAATATATATTCTCAAGTTAAGATTGTGTTAAACTCCTTTCATTTTTTAAAATTTTATTTATTGATTTTAGAGAGAGGAAAACTGATTTGTTTTTCCACTTACTTATGTATTCATTGGTTGCTTCTTAAATGTACCCTGACTGGAGATTGAACCCGCAACCTTGACATACTGGGACAGTGCTCCAACTGAGCTACCCAACCAGGGCCTAACCTCATTCCTTTTATAGTATTTTTTACCATAAGTTAGCTTCTTTTTCAAAGCTGGACATAATGAGCTTTTTATCTTTTTAATATTTTTCTCAACATATAGAATTCTTTAGTTTCAGAACACAGTGGGGTTTTTGTTTGTTTCTAGAGAGAGGAGGGAAGGAGAGAGGGAGAGAAACACTGTGGTTGCCTCTCACGCATCCGCTGCTGGGGACCTGGCCTGCAACTCTGGCTTGTGCCCTGACTAGGAGTTGAACTGGCGACCCTTTGCTTCACAAGCCAGTGCTCAATCCATTGAGCCATACCAGCCAGGGCAGAACACAGTGTATTTTAAATTTTTGTACTAATTTGTTTCTTATTCTTGTTCCCTCCTTTCTTCAGACAACTTGTCTTGCCTACTGTTGAGTGCCTCTATGGATCAGACTATTCTCTTATGGGAGTGGAATGTAGAGAGAAACAAAGTGAAAGCACTACACTGCTGCAGAGGTCATGCTGGAAGTGTGGATTCTATAGCTGTTGATAGCACAGGAACTAAAGTGAGTAGCTGTTGTGTTAGCAGTACCATGTTGTGTTAGACTTCTAACTTACACAAAAAATTTTTTCTATGTATATTCATTGTTATTGGCCTACTTACGTAACAATTGGTGACTAAAGAATATGGTTTCAAACCAAAAAGTAAATACTTGTACAATAAAAGTTGCAGAGATTGACTTCCTCGGTTTGGATATTTCTGGCTTAGAAGTTCATATAAACTTCAGAGATTTTAAGAAATTAGGAAGACGAGCAATTTTTTTATGTAACCTTAAATCACAGTGACTGACATTTTCAGTCTTTAAGTTACTCACAGTGCTGTTAGCAGTTGAAAATGTCTAGTTGATTATCTTAAGAAACTTTAGCATACACCAAGGTTAGTGTTACTAGAGGTTGTTTTACTGGTATTGCTGATCTCTCTATCATGACAAAATGGTAAAGGTTAGTTAAAAGGAAATAAACGTGAAGGCAACACTGTATTGACTTATGAGAGATTACAAACTCTTACCATTTGAAAGTTCCCTATACCACTTTCAAGTATTCTGAATTTGTGAGTGTTTCTTCAGCATTTCATTGCTAGTTAATGTAACAGATGTATTCAGAGTTAAAGATTTATGATTATTCATATTTGAGCTATCAAGAAGGTTTACATGTTGTCAAGTCCAAACTTCTGTGAATTCATTGTACCTTGCCATGTAGCTATAAAAGACAAGAATTCATTGAATTTTTTTCAGCTTAAAGATTGTGAGATCCCAGGGAAGAGTAAACGGCCACATTATGAGCAGGGTGATGATGCATTTGGGTCTTAGGATCCAAGGGGTAGAGGCTTGAATGAGGCCAGCGCATCCCCTCCCTTTTGTCTCCCCAAGTTGACTTTATTCTCTGTTACCTCAAACTGGCTTTTTCCACATGGCAATACAACCTGCCTTGAGTGCTCTCAGGTTTTACATCTTGTGCGATCTATCCCTGGAAAAAGGCTAACTTTACTCTCTGGAATACAAGCTTTCAAAAAAAAGATCCTGAAGGTGAAAGACCTATAGGCATAATGGAGGTCAGATATCCACCCTTATCTAAGCAACCATGGCCAGGGCACTGGGCCATGTAAGAATGGCAGCTTCTTCGGCTGCCATGAAATTGAAGGTACAACTTTCAGGAGACTAGGGAGACAGGCAGATGATACCATAGTAGTAAGGATTTCAGAGCAAAGTAAAGGTTTTAAGTTAAACAGCAGGGAAAAGCCAAGGCAAATAATATGATGGATTATAATTATAAACTCTTTTTGCCTTCATATATATCTGTTTAGTTTTGCAGTGGCTCCTGGGATAAGATGTTAAAGATCTGGTCTACAGGTAAATGAAATCTTTCTTTTACTTTGATAAATGATATGTTAAGAATTTCAGTGAAAGTTCTTTTTAACCCATATTTTACCATAAAAATGGATCAGGGCTTTGACACAAAGAAGCATAGTGTGGAGAAAAATCTGTATATTTCTCTGTGTTTCAAAATGTGTTTCTACCCCATCATCCCTTTATTTATTGGACAGTGTCACTGAGCTGCTGCAAGTTACCAGCAACATGTTTGGTGCCATGGGACATAACTGCCTGGTTCTCTCATTCAGGAACCTGGAAATAAACAAAGATAACCTTCTGAGTAATTTTGATACACTTTACTGTTAGAGAAATTTTCTTAGTTAAGCTGGTTTACTTTAAAAAAATAAAACCAAGCAAATTTTTAATAGTTTTACCAAACATCTTACTTTGAAAAAATAGATTAAAAGGAACAATTAGAGGAGGGGGACGAAGGAGGAATCTCAGAGGAAGGTGCCTTCATAGGAATAAGAACACACGGACAGAAGAAAAGATGGGGGGAAACTCACAGATATTTGTATTTTAAAAGTAGTATAGAACTATTTAGGTAAATAGGTCAGAATACCTCTGATACTTCCGAAGTAATTGCTTGTATTACAGCATAATACCCTAAATATAGCTTATGAAATAGAGTTGGGGGGAACAGGAAGAGCTTAAAGAGTTTTAAGTAATTATGTACAAGATGGCAGGAAACATAACCCATTTTAGTAGATATTCCAAAAATGCTTAAAACAAAACAGTTTTGAAACAAAATGGTTCAGAAATGTTCCCTATTATCGAATATTTTATAATCTTGCTAGTTGTGGGTAAATGAGATATGTACCTAAGTTATATAAGTTGTTACCCTTAAGGCACTTACAGTCTAATTTGGAAAAAAACTAATATAAAATAGTTACAAAATATAAAGTATGTGGTTTTCTATTTGGGGGTTTGCTACCTGGCCAAATGATGTGTAACAAAGATTAAGAAGAAATCAAAGATACCTATGAAACATTTAAATTCATTGTTAAAAAAGTAAATAATAATAAGAATAAACAGAGCTGGAATGTATATCCTTTTCACGTGTTTATCTTGTGGCACTACCTTCATCATATAAATGCAATCTGGTCAGAACTCTCCTGCAACTAATGGTAAGTAATTTTTCATAGATATGGTAAAGCAATGAATATTTATAATCTTAAAGACATAGCAAGATATCAAACTGGTTAAGTTCTATGATTTTAATGTACTATACTTTTTACTTTATCCTTTTGGAAGATTGGTAACACAGGTATTGTTTTTATGTATAATTCTCTTTAACCAACATAAGAATATATCTATTCTCTAGCCAATTAAGATAATGTGGAGAAGATGTATACCTAGAAATGTAAGAATTCTTGGAGACTGTTTGCAATTAATGTTTACTATAAATTTTAAAAATATCATGTCTAATTCTTTATGACACAGTCCCTACAGATGAAGAAGAGGAAATGAAGGAACCCACAAATCGACCAAGAAAGAAACAGAAAACAGAGCAGTTGGGATTAACAAGGGTAACTATTTGTGAGAACTGCTATACTTGGCTTGAGTCTGTATTGACAGATACACAGTAATTTAATATAATTTTTTCTATTTAAATTTCTTTTTGTCTCACCTTGCCACTTCAGCCATAATTAAGCTTTCTTTCTGTAGATTTGTAACTATTTATTAGAAATACCCTAGTTGTATTTATCTGAGTCATTGACTGTAATAGCATTGAGTCAGGCTTACCAATTGGTAGGTTGATTATTTAGCTATTATATTTGATCTGATGGTGGATTTTATAGTAGGATCTTTCTATTGTTAAAGCTTGCACTAAAGTGAAGCATCCCATTACCTGTTTAATAATGATTGTTTCATACACTAAGGATGTAATTCTCACTAGGGATGCTCACTGTATCTCCTAAATCACTAGAAACCAAGAGTTTAATTGGGGTTTTGATTTTAATCATTTAACTACTAGATTCAATTAAATCAAACCCAGAAATTTCATCCATATTCTTAGTTCTGTTAAGTTAGGGAGGTATTTGTCATAATATGATCTGACCTGTATTTATATATTTAATGTGAAGGACAATACTGAATCAGGTTTAGAAAAACATTTTTCATTCATTTTTTCGCAGCTGTAATGAATGTGCAGTAAATGAAGCACACATTCTTTCTTATAGTAACCAATAATAAGATATCTTATAGAAATTATTCAAAATGAGAGTAAAGTATGATCATAATGATTCATCAAATTCATATAAAATGCAATAAAACAGTAGCACTTACTGTATCCAACTGAAAGTAATGATTTATAATTTAATACATTTTAAACATGGACTGCTGAATTGCAAGAGGAATGATCTGGCAGCAACTCAGCTTCTTTATCTCTTAGTCTGGCAGGACAGATTAGAACTTTTATTAAATGTCTTGCCAATTTGGATACTGAGCCAGTTGTAATTTATTGATGCATATCCCTGATCAGCCTCTGAAGAATATATCTGAATATCATATTCTCTTATTTCTTGAATTATAAAAATTCTTCACATTCTTTTTTAAAGAGAGGAAAAGCTTTCTTTAAAAAATATTTTATTTATTTATTTTTAGAGAGGGGAACGGAGGGAGAAAGAAAGGGAGAGAAACATCTATTTGTGGTTGCCTCTCACACGCCCCCAACTGGGGACCTGGCCTGCAACCCAGGGGTGTGCCCCGACTGGGAAGCAAACCGATGACCATTTGGTTTGCAGGTCATCACTCAGTCCACTGAGCCACACCAGCCAGGACTACCTTTCTTTTAATTGAAATTTGGCATACATATATTTAAGTGTACAACTCAATGAATTTTAATAATGTATAGTATTCCTTTATATGACTATATGAGAATTTATTCATTCTTTTTTGATAGACATCTAGGTTGTTTCCAGTTTTGGCCACCATAAATAAAGTTCCTAAGAAAATTCTTAAACTTGTCTTTTGATGTACATGTGCAGTCATTTCTGCATATGTGGAATAGCTGGATCAAAGGGTATGCACATGTTGAGCGTTTTGAATGTTAGATACTGACAAAAAGTTTCAAAAACTTTTTCAAGAAGTTCTATCAGTTTATACTTTCACTGACTGTGTATGAGAGTCAAAGTTACTCCACATTCTTACCAAAACCAGTCCATTTTTTGATACCATAACTGATTTTATTTTACCACATAACATGTTTAATTTACCTACTGTTACAAAATATCATTTTGTCCATTCCTGGTGGTATGTAGTGGAATTTAAGTCCCAGCCCTTTGACACCTATCTGTGAATTAACCATTTGCGTTTTTAGAAGTGTTGCCTATTTTCTTACTGATTTATAAGAGTTCTTTATGTATTCTGATTTCAAAGTCTTTGCTGGATATATGTACTGTAAGTATTTTCTCCCATTAAGTACCTTGCCGATAACTTATTTTTAGGTAAGTCCTTTTATGAGCTTCCATCCATTGTTCATTTTATTTGATAAATCATAATATATTCACTTTCTCATAGGTTATGCTGGCATCCTTTGAAGTGCTATTCAAAGTAAAAAATTATGCTAGAACTTGAAATTAAAAAGTTGGATTTTTAAGACTAAAATAAGACAAATATCAAAAATGTTATCATCTATCTGTATTTCTTTCTAGTACCTAATTTGTATCAATATGAGTAATACTGCTAAGTAGTTAACTTATCCTTTGTTTCATACATTAACATACAGTAAGGTTTTTTCCTCATTTTTCTCTCAAAATTGCTTTTTTCCCCTCCAGTACTCTCTTACTGAAGTTTGTAGTGAAGCAGCAAAGCTGGCTTTTCTAACTTTTTTTTTTTTTTTTACAATATCTCCTAATTTCTTTTTAAATCCTCACCCAAGATGTGTTTATTGATTTTTAGAGAGGAAGTGGGTAGAGAGAGAAAGAGAGAGAAACATTGATCGGTTGCCTCCTGCACATGACCCAACTGTGGATCAAACCTGCAACCTAGGTAGATGCCCTGACCAGGGAATCCAGCCTGCATCCTTTTGGCATACAGAACGATGCTCCAACCTACTGAGCCACCTGGCCAGGGCAACCTTTCTATCTTCAAAAAAAAAAAAAAACAAAAACAAATTTATATATAGGAAAATTTACCTACTCTCTTTGGTAAAAAGCTTTCGAATTTTGATAAATGCACAGAATATGCAACTTCATAATCAAGATACAGAACAGTTCATCATCCCCTAAAACTCATGTTGCTCATTGATTCCTTCTCCATTCCTGTAATTTTTCTTTTTCCAGGATATCATGTAAATGGAATCACACAGTTTGTAGACTTTTTGCATCTAGATAGACCCAGGTTATTGGGAGTCATGATTTATTCCTTTTAAAAGCTGAGTAGTATTCTTTTGTATGGCTATACAACAGTTCATTTAATCACTCACCAGTTGAATGTTACTTAGGTTGTGTCTAGTTTTAACAGTTATAAATAAAATTTTGTGGATAGTCTTGTATCAGGTTCCCTTTTGTTTTTAAGATTTTATTTATTTTTAGAGAGGGGAAGAGAGGGAGAGAAACATCAATGTATAGTTGCATTTTGTGTGCCCCCTGCTGGGGACCTGGCCTGAAACCCAGGCACATGCCCTACACTGGGAATTGATCCAGCAACCCTTTGATTCACAGGCTGGCACTCAGTCCACTGAGCCACACTAGCCAGGGCAGGTTCCCTTACTTTATTCAGGAAAATTTTAGAGCTGGAAAGAGAGACCTTAGGGATCATTTGGTCCAGGAGTTAGCAAACTATAACCCAACAGCTAATTTAGCTGTGGCCTAATTTTTGTACTACAAAGAATGATTTTTAAAGGTTTTTTTTAAAAAAAACAAGAATATGAGATTATATGTGGCCTGGAAAAGCTAAAAATTTTATTTTCTGGACTTTACCAAAAAACTTTACTGACCTCTGATGCAGTATAACTCCCTTATATTACAAATGAGGAAATAATATTGAAGTAGGCTAAATGTAACAAAGTTACAAAAGTAGATTAACTGTCTCATTTCAGAATTTTTTCCTTCTTTCACATATTCTTTATATTTAAGATAAACAATATACCTAATTTGGGGATTTTTATTGGAGAAAGCAAGTAGAGGGTTTGTAATACTGATGAGCCATGGACAATTATTTAAAGGTTAGATGCTGAGGAAATAAAGGTGGTAAGAATAACCTATTTAATTAAACTTGGAAGAGTCATGTAGAAAATGGCAGCACCTTGACTCAAACCTAGATGTAACCCCAGAGCCTTTTCTAACTTCTACGTATAATATATTTGACAACTGAAGGAAGTTAGTGTTAATATTAATAGTCCTCAAAATGAAAAGTAGAATAGATGAGGAAGCAGCAGAATATAGTGGAAAGACTACAAACTTTGGGGTAATATTTAGGTTGGAATTTGAATCTGTCCCTTATAAGCTGTATGAACTTGGGCAAGTTATCTTTCTCAGCTTTAATCTCTCCATCTATAAAATTAAAGCAAATATCTGTCTTGGAGGATTGTGGTAAAGAAGAAATAAGGCAGGATATAAAGCCAAGGCATTTGACAAACTTATCTGTCATATGAGCTTCAGAAGTACTAGCTACTATTACTGTTTTAATTATTCTGAACTGAAAATGCTTTCCCTTTTGGTATCTTTCATTTCTAGACACCCATAGTGACCCTCTCTGGCCACAAGGAAGCAATTTCCTCAGTTCTGTGGTCAGATGCTGAAGAAATCTGCAGTGCATCCTGGGACCACACAATTAGAGTGTGGGATGTTGAGTCTGGCAGTCTTAAGTCAACTTTGGTAAGACTTATACATTTGGATGTTCTCTGATTAACTTTGAGTTTTTAAGTGATAAGCTTCTAGTGATGAATACTTTTAGACCACCATGGTTAAGTATACTTTCCCTTTTTTTTTTTACAGACAGGAAATAAAGTATTTAATTGTATCTCCTATTCTCCACTGTGTAAACGTTTAGCATCTGGAAGCACAGATAGGCATATCAGACTGTGGGATCCCCGAACTAAAGGTGAGTCATGCAAACCATTGGAGGAAAAATATGTATAAATACCATCACTTTTTCTTCTCACTAGAAATGTATATAAAAAGATAATTTTCTACATTTTTTTTAAAAAGATCTTATTTATTTAATCAGGGAAAAGGAGAAGGGTCAAGTCAAGGAACATGTATAAAGGACCCATGGACAAAGCCAAAGTGGGGAAGGATTGAGGGCGGGAGGTGGCAGTGGATGGGGCAGAAGAAAGTGGTGGCAGGAAAATAAGACACAAATGTATTTGAACAATAAATTAAATAACAAAAAAAGGAAAGAAAAAAAGATTTTACTTATTTTAGAGAGAGGGGAAGGGAGGGAGAGATGGAGAGAAACATCAGTATGTGGTTGCCTCTTGTGCACCCCCTGCTGGGGACCTGTCCTGCAACCCCGGCATGTGCCCTGACTGGGAATCTAACCAGTGACCTTTAGGTTCACAGGCCAGCGTTCAATCCAGTGAGCCACAGTAGCCAGGGCTCCACATATTTTTCTTTTTTTTAGATTTGTTCTGCTTACTTCTAAAACTCAATAATTATTATCTTTCTATTTGTTCAGATGGTTCTTTGGTGTCACTGTCCCTAACCTCACATACAGGCTGGGTTACAGCAGTAAAGTGGTCTCCTACCCATGAGCAGCAGCTGATTTCAGGTTCTTTAGATAACATTGTCAAGCTGTGGGATACAAGAAGGTAAATCCTATTTATGGTCCACAAAAGAAATATATCAATTGCCTGTTGAATACAGAGAAAATGAAATGAATATTGAAGTGATAAATATGCAAAAAGGACACCTCTTTGGGAAAGGCCTCTCTTTGAAGGTGGAATTCTAATAGAGTTGAGCGATGTAAAGGTATGAACCATGCACAGATCATGGCAGAGGAAAAAAGAGATAAGGTGGGGGAAATCTGTGCATATTGTCAAAATAGCAGGAGAGCCAGGGTTGATGGAGTAGAGGAGTCAAGAAGAGGGGCAGTACATGAGGCAGGTAGTGGTTATATTGAGCAGGACCTTGTAGGCCCCAATAAGGAATTTGGGTTTCATTCTAAGTGTGCAGGGGAAGGCTTTAGAGGTTTTTGAGCAGGGGAGCAAAAATGAATGCAAAGAGGCTAATGTAATTGAAGAGACAGAGAATAGTGATTTGGACTATGGGGGTAGAATTAGAGATAAGTGATTGGTTGGATTTTAGGTATATTTTGAAAATAGCTTTTGGCAGGATTGGCTCATGTAGAGATAGGAATCTAGGTTAATGCATGTATTTTCTACTCAGCAATTGGATGATTATTGGTGGAAGGAGTAGAGAAGGCAGTTTGGGAAGGAAATTCAAGAGCTTTTGGCTGTTTTAAATTTGTAGTGCCCATAAGACAGTATACCATCAGCAAGTTGGGATATACATACCAAACTCAGTGGAGAAGTTTGGCTAGTATATAAATTTGGGAGTTGTCAGCATATAGGTGGATAAAGAGTATATAAAACCATGATTTGGGGGTAAAAGTGAAATAGTCAAGGAAATGTGAAAATGGGCCTAGTTATAAATTTTATAAATAGCATTTTTCCTGACTATATTTGTTGTAGTAAATCTTGGTTGTTTGCTAATGATATAGGAAAACCAGGAGAGGTGGTCAAGTAAATACCCAGAATTCTAAATTAAGTGTTATAGTGACAAGGATGGTGAACTCTAAAGTTTTCAGGAAAGTATGGGTGATTATTCATATATTTGTTTAATACTATGAAATGCATATGACATATCAGCATTTTTATCTTTTAGTTGTAAGGCTCCTCTCTATGATTTGGCTGCTCATGAAGACAAAGTTCTGAGTGTAGACTGGACAGACACAGGGGTAAGACATTATTTGGTGAAGAAGAAAATATATATTAGGCTAAATCTGGTGTTTGTGTTTACAGAGTTAATAGTTTCAATATATGTGATATTTATAATTGTATATTCTAAGTTTCCATTAACATTATTCATAAAATCTCACATCTCATTCAAAGAAGAGACAAATTTGCCCTTTAATATTAGGAATAGTAAAATTTAAAAATTTTGAAGCAGTTCTTTTCTCATGAGTATTTTAATGAAATTTTGTAGCAAGTTTTTTTCTCATCAGTATTTTAATGAAATGTTTCAAGTCCATAAACTTGGTACTTTAGACTTAATGGATCAAAATATTTCCCATTTAGAAAAATCTTATATAATAAATCTAGACTTACAATGTGTTTAAAAAATTACAATTGAATTTTTATGTATATGCATAAGCTCTTATTGCCTAAGAATTCTTTTCAAATATATAGGCCCCCGGGTTTACTTGTATAATTTGTAATATTAATTTACCTACAAACAATTAATGTGCTGTCCTCGAAAAACTTAATTTTCTTAAATGGGTACAACTATATTACACGTCAGGCTTTTTATTACATCTCTTAGCAAATGCTTCATAGAAAGTACAATAGTATATTATACCTTAAGCAAATTTAAATGATCACTTTAAAAGTTTTAATATACTGTATTATAAGACAGTATTAAAACTGATATAATCAGTCAATTTAAGCATTATTTCTTAATGCAAGTTAACTGCTCATCTTAATTGCTCTGTAATCAAAATCACCATTATTAGGTTTACCATCATGTGAAATAACTGTCTTTCCTTGTGTTTGTGTCTTTTTTCTCTTTTATGCAGTTACTTCTGAGTGGAGGAGCGGACAATAAATTGTATTCCTACAGATATTCACCTACCACTTCCCATGTTGGGGCATGAAAGCGAATGATTAGCTTGACTACAGAGATTCTTTCTGTAAATACAGTCAATAGAGAATACTCAAATTACATCAATGCAGATCATCCTTGATAATAGTTATTACTGTATTTTTCTTTATTTTGTATTTATTATATAACAGTTTGCATTTATAAAACATAAAATGTGGCCTGCATTCTCTACCGTATGCAAACTCTTGAAATTAAACTGAGTTTATTTCTTTTTAAAGGTATTGGTTTGAATTAAGATTTGCTTTTCAAAAGCTATAAAAGCATTTATTAGAAGTATAGTGCTTGTCCAGTTTTTTTATTGCTGATGGAGAAACTTTTTAAAGTTAGCTGGTTTAAAAAGGCATCTAAAAACACTAATGTATTTTAATAGAGAAAAAATTAGAAATACAATTTTCTTTTGCTAAAATAAGTGATGTCTAACTGTAATAAGACTTTGTGGGTATTGAGAACATAGAACAAGATGTTGCCAGTTTATTAAGCATTTGTTGAAATACTTTAAGTGAAATACTTCATATTACAGATATGTCAGAATCCTTTAGAAGCTGCATACAGATTTCATGGTAATCTGGAATCCCTCAACCATAGATTCCTTATTTTTCTTTTTTTAGGATTTTCCTTTTATTTGTAAGGAAAAGGGAAGAGAGGGAGAGAAACATTGATATGTGAAAGAAACATCCACTGCCTTTCACATGGCCCAGCTGGGGACCTGGCCCACAACCCAGGCCTGGGCCCTAACTGGGAACTGAACTGGCACCTTTCAATTGGAAGGCCAGCGCTCAATCCACTAGCAACACCAGTTAGGGCAGAATAGATTCTTTAGACCAAACCTTTCAGTCAGGATTAGATATAAACATTCTACAAAATTTATATCATTAGCATTGATCTAAATTCTTAAAACTATATACCAAATATTTAACATAAACATCTTCTTAAAATGTGACCTCTGTCTTTAATGGATTGGCATTCCTCAAGCAGAACACTTCAGCTTCTGAGTAATATATGGGAAATCAATTTGGTCTCATCACTAGATCCTAATGAAGTATTTTTTTTTTAATTTTTAAATTAGAGTTGACATACAATATTGTATTAGTTCCAGGTATATAATCCCATGATTAGACATACCACTTACAAAGTGATCACCACAATAAACCTAGTACCTGTCTGACACCGTATATAGTCATTACAATATTATAGACTATGTTCCCTATGCTATATTTTATGTGACTATTCTATAATTAACCAATTTGCACTTCTTAATCCCTTCACTTTCTTCACTCAACCCCCCTTACCTCTGGCAGCCATCAAAACGTTCTGTGTATCCATGAGTCTATTTCTGTTATACTTGGTGGTTTTTTTTAGATTCCACGTATAAGTGAAATCATCTGGCATTTGTCTTTCTATCTGACTCATTTTATTTAGCATACTATCCTCTAGGTCTATTCATGTTGTTGCAGTGGCAAGATTTCATTCTTTTTTATGGCTGAATCATATTCCATTGTATACAGGCACCACTTCTGCTGTATCCATTCATCTATTGATGGACACCTAGGTCGCTTCCATATCTTGGCTATTGTGCATAATGCTGTAGTGCAGGGCTTCCCAAACCCTGGGCTGTGGACCAGTATTAGTCCATGGCTTGTTTGGAACCGGGCCACACAGAAGGAGATGAGTGGTGGGCAAGCACGTGAAGCTTTGCTTGCATTACCGCCTGAGCACTGCCTCTTCTCTGTTCTATGTCCCAGGGGTTCCTTCCACTATCCTAATTTTTTTTCAATTTTTTTCTGTTTTGCTGTTCTGATGGCAGGTTTCCCGCTTTATTATTTCCCAACTTGCTGATTTGATTATCTCCTTCATCTACTCTACTGTTGATTCCCTGTAATGAAATCTTCGTTTCAGTTAGTGTATTCTTCATTTCTGACTGGTTCTTTTTTCTTATGGTTTCCATGTCCTTTTTTATGCTGTTGACATTCTAAGTTCCTTGAGCATCCCTATAACTATTGTTTTGTTTCTTATTTTTTAGAGAGAGGGGAAGGGAGAAAGAGTGGGAGGGAAACACTGACCGGTTACCTCGCACACCCTTAACTAGGGACCTGGCCCACAACCCAGGAATGTGCCCTGGGAATTGAACTGGCGACATTTTGGTTTGCAAAATGACACCCAACCCACCGAGCCACACCACTCAGGGCCCTGTAACCATTGTTTTGAACTCTGTCTCTGGTAGTTTGCTTGCCTCCGTTTCATTTATTTTTTTGTGAAGATTTCTCTTGTTTTTCATTTGGGACCTCTTTCTTTGTCTCCTTATTTTGGCTGCTTGCCTGTGTTTGTTTCTGTGTAGTAGCTAGAGCTGTTATGACTCCTTGTACAGGATCTTATAGAGGGCCCAGTGGCACAGCCTCCTCAGTCACCTGCCTCAGGTGCTCCAGGTGTGCCCCTTCTGTGAGATGTGTGCACACTCCTGTTATAGTTGAGCCTTGGTTACTGTTGGCATGTCACTGGGAGGGAATGACCTCAGGCCAGTCATCTGAGGACTGGCTCTGACTACGGTGGAGGAGCTGCTATGCAAGGGGCCTATTGAAAGGAGCAGGACTCACTTCAGTAGGATTTTGGTGTCCACCAAGTCCACCCCTTGTGTGTTGCTCATGAAGGTAGCTGGGTTGTGATCCAGCGTGAGCTGTAACTGTTGACTGGGTACACTGGCACTGGGACCTCCTGGGAGCTGCTGGCCAAGGTCAGCCACTGCCTGTGCCCTGCCTGGGGCCACCCAGCATGAACTCCTACTGCAAATGGCTGCTACTTGTGCTGAGCCTGGAGGTGACTGAAGAGGCCAAGGTGAGAACCAAGGCCAGTTGATAACTAGCACCAGGTCTGGGGCCACTTAGCAAGAGGTATGCCTGTTTGAGAGATTTAGGGAAGGCCAAAGTAAGAGTTAAGAGGACATATTTTTGGAAAAAGCACCATAAATGGCTTGGGTGGGCATTCAAGCTGGGTGGGGCAGGGTTTCAGACAACCACCAAGACGGGGCAAACAATGATAGCCAGCTTGATGAAGAGTCAGATCTAACACTGCCTGCCAGCTCAGTGAGGGAACGGCTTGTCAAAGGAACAATGGCCTCTACCAGTACTTCTTTGAGGGAGAAAGTTGCCCTTCCAGCCCTGGTTCTGAAGGCAGACAATTCACTTCCTCCCCATGTGTCCCTAGCACCTTTCAACCTGCTACCCCAGTGCAGGAGCTCCAAGTTATCTGTGTTTTGCCCTTTAAGATGAACTGGCTGGACTCCAGAAGTCCTCAGTCTCATTTATCCACAATCTCAGCTGGTTTCACAGCCAAAGTTATGGGGACTCCTCTTTCCAGCACTGGAACACTGGGCTGAGGGTTCTGGTATAAGGTTGGGACCCCTGGTTCCTTGGGGGAACTCCATAGCCAAGATATCCCTCCCAGTTTTTAACTGCTACATGTGGTTGTGGGACCAGCAAGTTCTACTGGATTGGCCAAAAAGTCTGTATGGTTTTTTCCGTAAAATAAAAAATAACAGTTTTCATTTTCACCAATAACTTCATTGATTTGGATAGTTTGAGTATGTCAGCTATCTCCCCTGTGATATAATGTTGATTGTTCTCAATTAATGTCTTAATTTGATCGGTCAACTTCAACTGGTGTACCCAATTGTGGAACATCGCCCAGTGAGAGATCTCCAGCATGAAATTTCACAAACTAATGACATGTTTGAACAATCACAGCACCTTCTCCATACATTGCACAAAATTTTTTTTTGTGCGTTTCAGTTGTATTTTTACCTTTTCTTGAAATAATACAGTATAATATGCCAATAATGTGTATTCCATCTTCAGTATTAAAATGGCTATACAAAAAGTGACCAATTCTGATTTTTTTTTTAAATGCATGCTGATATGACAGTTGTCACAATACAATCTAACGAAATTTGAATGAAGTTAAAGACAACTAAGCTCTACTAGTGTCATCTTATGGAAAAAACAAACAAGCTTTTGGGCCAACCCAATACATCTCCCTCCCTCCTACCAGTCTTGATGTGGCGTCTCTATCTTTAGTTGTAGGACTCTGTTCAGCTAGCTTTCAGGCAGTTCTGAATAGTGGTGGTTCTGTAGTTTTAATTTTGATGTGGTTGTGTGAGCTGAATTTGGCATATACCTATGCCACCATCTTGACCAGAAGTCCTCTAATGCAATATATTTTACAAGACATTCCTATCACAGAGGTCTAGAAAACAACAGCCATATTTGGCTACAGTTGAGAGCCAAATTAACTGGACTAAACCAGGTAGGAATTCAGTCTCATATGTGTAGCAGTCCAGGGCTGGTGAAGTGGTTTTGTTCCACATTCCTTAGGGACTTAGGCGTCCTCTTCCCCTGTAAGAGGGTCCTCACATAGACCAAGACCTAGAGTGCCAGCTATTTCATTTCTTAATGATAGAATGTTTTAATGCCTAAAAAGTGAATAAAGATAACTGGAAAAATCATACCCAAAGACTTCGTTTTTCTCATTCAGTGCAGATTGGTATAAATTTCTTATCTGTAGCTTCTAGAAATCTTTTAAGAGGACAGAGAAATTTATATTCCTGTTTTGGATTGTCCCTGGATGAGCCTTACCAGCAGAGTTATTGATAATATCTTTACTCACCCAACCTGGGTTGCTGAAGTGTAGTATGCATATACTACTAGGTGGCTAAAGTAAAGTGGCCTTTTAAGGCAGAATGTAGTCATGAGTCAGGCATTCTTCCTTGGGATGGATATAACACTAGCTACCAAGTCTCTTGGAGAAAAATTATCTGATCTCTGCCAAACTCACCTTGCATATAACTCAAGAGGTTAGAAGCCTACAAGTCTTAATCCTCTTAAAGCATTCTCCTACCTCCCATGCTCTGCCTTTTCTTCAGAACTAAGTCTCCTTTTCTTTTTTTTTTTTAATTAATTTATTTACTTTTTAAATACTAAGTCTCCTTTTCAATGGTCCATTTTCCTTCATTTAATTACACCAGAGACAAGGCATTAAGTGGATTGATTTATTCTAAGACTCTCTTTGAGAAATAAACGAAGCTGCTACCCTATTCCTGGGTTGTTAGGAACCAGCTAGTGCATTGTTCAGGACCCGCAGGCCTTCACAGGGCTATTTATAAGGTTTTCCATAGTAATGAAGTTCATAGACATACTGATTGCTCTTCATCAAACAGTTTAAAGAAATTCCCTTTTTTTAACCATTTAACAATAAACCTCCTAATTTAAAGTTAGGCTCAAAGTATATCTCACTGCAGAATAAGTCAGTTCAAGGAAAAAGGCTGAACTTCTACCTTGCACCAGAGTCTGTGCTAATGGAGGAAAGGGGAAAAAAAACACAAGACATGGACACTGCCCTCAAAAACTGCCTTCACACTCA